TGAAGATTACAGGTGTTGCTAGACATCAACATACAAAGTAAAAAGGAGGAGAGAAAGGATGATAGACGTTTGATAGGAAAGAATGAGCAAACCACACTAGAGCCCCCGCAAAATAATCATGGATTTCAACTATTATAACAAATAAAAATACAAGAACATTAATCAAGAAAAGGCTAGGATGAAGTTTCTGCCAATGAAGGTGGTCATGGTATTGATACAGGGACATACTTCCTTCTCAAAGCAAAATGAAGTAAATCAAGGCATTTACACAACATTAGGTCTTATTTACCTCCTCAAAGATGACACGTTAACAATTTATAGCAGGTCACATCAATGCAAAATACAATTACACCTCTATTTCATATGATGCGGCTTGATAAAGCACTGGTTTTGTCACAAATGCAAAATAAAACCACATCTACATTTCATATGATGGGACCTGGTAAAGCACTGGTTTTGGCAGATAATACCCCATGGCCACACTGGCCCACTGCACCATCTGGGCCTGTAAAGAAAAGCAAAACATCAACAATACATCGCTACATCAGAATTACAAAGTTCTATCTGCTCATTACCTAGTTTTGAGAAATTTGATTTCAAAGATGTTGAATTTCACATCATGTCAAGCATTTTCGAATGCAATTCTGTGAAAATCTTAATAACAACTCCAGACAATCTTACGATTTTGATAGAGCAGATAGAACAATTAGGTTTCTGACTCCAAGGTCTCAGTAATTCAAAATGCCAAAAATGTTAGATAGAACTTTGTTAATCTGAGGTAGCGAAATGTAAAAGACCAATGACAACCATATATGTAAAAATGGCACAAAGATGTTATAAAAGAGAATATATATTAGATCATTAGTATACAGCTACTTATTTAAAAAAAGGGAGAAAAAATGCGAAGACCTTCACAAGCTAGTAATAAACATCAGCAAACTTTAGTTGAAAATAAACTTGCTATTAGTATTAGCAGCAACACCTGATACTTTCCTTTGAGGCTAGCATCTGAAAACCCTTAAATGACGCCAAAGGTTCATGAGCTGACACTGAATCTAAAACAATAACAGCAACAAACAACAGCAACAGCAACAACAACAATAAGAACAACAACAACATGCTGTTTCTGAGATTTTCGAATTGTTCTCATAATTCTCATTCCAAAATCAGTCCACTTGTGCACCAGCGAAAACTTAAACAGTTTCTACAGAACAAAATCAACCCAGACAGAAACAGAAGGACGTGCAATTCTCAGATCAATAATCAAACCTGCTCTAACCACCATCTGTTCTAGACAATCATCTGTACAAAAGATCACTTCCCACTTTGCATTTTTTTTTCTTTATTATAATGACACTGTGCAACATGTCAACCTGTTTAAGATAATCACTGCAAGTATTCTCCTCCGCAATGGGTGGCCACCTTTTACAATTTCAACTGTATTTGATAAAATAATTTTCCCAAATGGGATCAAAATTTTAAAAACCTCTTCAACTTGCAACAGCAAAGATCCTGCCTAATCATTACATCACACATGCCAGTTTATTCAACAGAAACCCAAAGGAGAATAACAGAAAGTGTGACAAAAACCATACACATGCCATTTTCCCCCCACTACATCCAACATGAACATAAACTGTATTACAGAACTGTTATCACATCATACAACTATACAAAATTAAAAATTTTTTAAATAAAAAAACAAGAAACACTGAGCTTTTCTTGGAAGCTAAGAAAAAAGAAAAGCTTTGATGACAACCAATCCCATCCATAACTGGCATGACAGGTCATAATATACAAATACCAAGATCAACCTTAGAATAATATTCAAGTTTCAAGATATCAGTCAAATACATTTATCACATGACATATTTCTGTAAGTAAATAGTAATATAACCTCAACATATGAACGTCATGAAGTTTGACAAAAACATTTTCATCCACCATCCGTAAATAACATGACATAATAATATTTCTGTACAAAATAATAACATCATCAAAAGAATTATCATCACAAATACAGTCCGTGCCGGCTTTAAGCACGCCGGCCTTAAGCACGTTTCGGACTCAAGCACGCTAAACGGCTCTTACCGAATTTTTGCTATATAAATCACACGCCTTTAAGCACGGTAACTTCGGCTTCAAGCACGCTTCATTTACAAGACAGTCAATACTTTCATGATGACCCATCGAAGTTTGAACACAGTCTACACCGCAGCAGTGGAGTGTGTCAAGAGAAACACAAAGAACGCTAGTGATGGACACACACACTCACACGGGCAGAGAGGAAGGCAGAGAGATGCACACAGCCGTGCACGCGGACATAGGATCTAGCCTAGGCCTAGGGCAAAGCTACACACGACCTAAAAAAAATACAAAGAGAGTCGGGGAGATGAGAAAGGGAGACTGCTGCGATTTCACCTTTGACCCTCGCTATCCATTAATCCTGATTGTGTATCACGCGCGAAGTGGGATGAAGGCGGTGGTATGAGTGGCACAGCGGGCAGTGGTACGCACAGGCAGTGTGTTACAGTAGGCCTAGTGTGCTGTACCGTGACTGGCCGTCCAAATAAGTTTTCATTTCCCATTCGACCACAAAACAAAAACAAACAAGCGAACAAAAACTACCTTGGCGGGTGTCTAAATAACAGCCCACACTTTTGCGGGACCGCTATAGGCCTACTTACAAACAAAGGGAAATAACACGGGGAATTTTCTACATGAAAATCTCTGGATTATGTCTACTTCGCACTTAAGCACGCTTCGGCTTTAAGCACGCTTAAGCTTTCTCTCGATGACCGTACTTATAGCCGGCATGGACTGTATACAATACTTAGCACCCTTGTCCAGAATATGGCCCAATAATGACAATAGCACTGTCAAGAAACAAGTATACATATAAACACACACAGCCACTCGCAGGCAGAAACACACACACACACACACACACACACACACACACAGCCACTCACTGACAGGAACACTTAATGAGTAATACATCTGAACATAGTTTTGGTTTTGGTAAGAGTTTCACGGCACTTGTAATACAAATCGGTCAAATAAGCACCAAAGATTAAAGGCGTTACTACTAGAAAGTAACATAAAAAAGGAGGATGGAAGATTTTTTTTAATGATAGATGCTTGCTTGGAAAGAAGGAGCAAACCATACCACAGCACCATCCAACCACCCACCTGAACACAGCACCATCCAACCACCCACCTGAACACAGCACAAAAGAAATATAAAAAGAGTAAGACCTAAACAAATAACTAACAATGGGAACATAACAATATGTACAGATACAAAAGCACATTAGCAATGACTTGCAAGGGCACATAGAAACGTATACACACACACACACGCACACACACACGCACACACACACACACAATGTCTCCGAATACATTTAAGAATAATAAAATAACAGCGGCCACGCAGACAAAAGCTTACAGCAACAAAACAATCTATTCCTCATAAAGTATACAATCACATCTGCTTTAACTTTAACAACCGCCTGTCCAAGACAGTCACCTGTACAAACGATCACTTCCCACCACCCCTTTGGAGACGTTTTTTTTCAATACTATAACGACATTGTCCAAGAAGTTCACTGCCTAAGACAACCACTTTTCTCCTCAATAATGGGTGGCCGTCTTGGACAATTTCGACAGTACCGTACAATGCACAACTGTACACACATCAACCAATAGAGTCAAAAGACTACATATTTGCTTACGAGACAATCGACACGAATGGTTTTGTCAAGAAAGCAATGGGTATCATACACCGACTAGAAAGTACATGATCGCAAGTGTCCAAAAAGATAAAACAACAGAGGTTTCATAAGCAAAACAATCAACAAAATTGGTTCATATATACATATATATATATACGTACTGGGGATGACGTCTGACATCAAAGATTGACTGCACATTCAGAAAAATATTCTTTAAAATATAAGATGTCAAGTCAGCTGGCTGCAGCATCTTGATCTTCTGTATAAAATTTCCTGACCAGACAACAAAGCACCTAGGAAAGTATTGTGTTACCTGTGCCCAAACTGTGAAAAACGTATTTTTAAAACAAAACAACCAAAAAAAAAACCCCAAAAACTAAACACAGTTGGGAAATTTTTACCAAAAAATTTTCAAAGCCAACATCAAACTGTCATTATAAAATTGATTCTAACTTAGTTGTAAGTGAACTGAAAGAGCACTTTGTTCAAAGTCCACAGGCCTGGGCTGTTGAACTCAACAACTTGACTACTTTCAATGACATCAAAGAATATTTGTAAATCTCTCCATACTCCACCATCAAAACAATTTAGATCATTTAGGAGGTGGGTTGCCTCAGGCCAACCCGGGCTTAATGGGATGAAGCACCCAAGAGGAAAGTTGGAGATACAGTCAAACTTTCTCTAACGGCCACCTGTCTA